TTATTCAATACATTTGTGTAGTAAAGCAACCTCCCTTTGAGCTGTCAGTAATTCAAAATTAAATAAAATTCCATTTAGTATCTTTGCTTACCATAATAATACTATAAAAAAATTGAATTAAAATTAATTGAGTAAATCTATAGCAATTAATTAATCAGTTTAAATGCTACACAAATCACCTTTGAGAGCCTTCCTGACAAATATGTCCTCAAACTGCATCAAATCCTCATATCTCAGATCTGACTTAGATGGTGCTGACTGACAAATGACCATGATTTTCATGGATATGCCAAAGTCGGCAAAACAACAGTCTAACCTTAAGTGTTTCCACACTGTTTTTAGCTGAGTGGGGACAGATTAGCAAGACAGCATCTCCTCTGTTACTAAGAGAAAGGTACCAGGGTACGAGTAGACTGTATCCATGTGTGTGTGTGTCTGGGATTTAAAGGCTATGGGCTGTCTACTTTGGATTAACCATTCGTTCCGCCAAGCAGAGGTAAAATCTGAAATGTTTTTTTTTTCCCATAGGTCAAGAAGCACGCCAGTATGAAGGACAGGGGTTATGGGCATAATCAACAATCACAACTGAGATACTAAGGTTCATCTTTCTTAGTGTCTTCAGGGAGGTGATGGTTTCTTTACAGACATCGTCTTAAATTGACCTTTTAAAAGTAATTCATTAACAATTGAACAAGAGCATTTTGGGAAATGTGCTTGTTTGCTGTTTTGTACCCCTTTCAATGTGCCATCTAGAAACCGTTCCCCTGATCCGGCAGGTCAAACATGACTTGGCTTTGATCAACAAGAATTATAACTGACATTTAAGATGGTTAACAAGAGAAAGAAGGACAAAGGGACGTCAAAAAGATAAATAAACCTCTGTATTTTCTTTGCAATATTATTCTTTCTTCTATTCTTTCATTACACAGTACACTAAAATGAACACATCCAAGGCGAGATTTAGGCAATGCAGTAACAGAATCTTGATTCACATGTTATCAGCACTGTCTAGTTTGACAATTTGATCAGAGTCTCATACATTGCACTGGACAGCCTCACTGGTTGGCCTTTTCCACCAACAGTGAACTGGCTTCGTTCCAGTTCAAGCACCTAGTTTTGAACCGTTCAGAGTGTTTTGACCAAAACTAAATTGGTTCAGATCATGAACCAAAAAATAGCAAAGTAGGTGTGTTATATTCTACACGTCGTTGTGCATTGTGCAGCTGCCTCAAGTTCAAAACTAGCAGGCCCCTTTTTCTTTTTTTTGGTGATAAAGGTTCAAAAATATGTGCATCAACCAGCACAGAGCCGGCTCACTGTTGGTGGAAAAGGTCTATTCAATTCAATTTCAATTCAATTTTATTTGTATAGCGCCATTTCATAACAGAAGTTATCTCAGGACACTTTCAAATAGAGCAGGTC